CTAAATCCAAGCATTTACTGATAGATACCTATTACTATACATATAATGAAGCTGAATTGTTTCGTTTGATTGTAAATACATGACAGTCTGTTTTGAAATTTATAGTAAAAAATATCAAATGTAGATAGCTTTACTCAATTTGCTGAATCCTTTTGTAAAGAATTTAACTAAAACTATAATGTGTTTATTTTTTATTAAAAATTCTATATTGCGTTATATAAAATTGTAGTGTTACAATGTTAGTTACCTTACATGTCCGAAACGGCTTCACAATTTTATATCAAATTTCATATTTATACATATACATACAGTAGGTCTGAGAAGCGGCTACTTGATATTTTTCATACCCCTTAGTGGAAAATAATTTATATTCCCGAGTCAGCTACTCGTAGTATGGTTAAAATTAAATTTTAAATTTTAACAGACACTATCTTTCTATTTGTATTTTTCTGATTATTATTTTGTGCTTTTGTTAATCCTGTTTCATAGATGGAACTTCATTCATAAATTATCATGATTCATTCATACAGCTTTAAAGCTTTATTAGAGGAAAATTGAGTAAAAATATCTAATCTTTTTATAATATACGCTAGTATGTATATTAGTAATTAATACAAATTACATTTTTATCAATGAAGCGTGTCCGATTTTCCTGGTAAGCGAGCTACTGTTATCGTATTTCCGTTTCCAACGAATGATTAAAATTTTAATAGCCTTATTGTTCTTCTAAAAATATATTGTTTACCTAATTCGCTAAGATAATACTGTCTGTCAATACAATCTTATTACTTTATAATACCTATAATGGCTGTGCCAAAGTACAACCATTATCAATCATGCTTCAAAATCGTATTATTTATGATATGTTTATGATTATATTGAAGCGATAATGAAGCAATTATTGCTAAGTTCTGAAAATGATCTATAAAAATTAGCCCTGTTGGAATGAAATGAATGGAAAATTACTTTTGTAAAAGTTGGCAATTTATTTTTGCATGGCAACACGACACAAGTCATATCTTGAAATATTGGATTATTTTGAACACAAGTCTTTTCAGACACAATACGTCCTATATGCCATCTAAGTAAATAACCCTCATCCACCTTGTAATTAAATAATCAAAAGAAAAAAAATACCAATAAAGTATTTACCCAATATTTTTTGGTACTCTATACACGTGCTTTGTAATGAATATTGATTTAGCTCACGTGGGTAATATGTGACGCTCCCACGATACAGAACCTAGGATATAATTCTTATGTGTAAAGAAAACAATGAGCCCGCATGGCCCACCCTGGAGGCGGCGCTATCCCGTGAGGTCATTGCACTCACCAACTTAATTACTTACGTGCAAATATGAACGAACTGATTGAACACATAATTAGGTCATCGACATCTGTCACGAAGCTGGCCAGTTACATGTTTGACAGCTGTGGATGCCTGATTTTTAGATGAAAAAAATCAGGTTCCGTCAAGCAACAAGTTTTGGACTAGTTATTTTAGAAGTACATAATACGGTAGTTGATAACTTGTTTGTCTTGACTGAATGAGTCATCTTTAGTTTATATGTAATTATTTTTTATATATTTTTATTTAATAAATGTCATTATACATATAAATAAAGATATTACCATAAATAGGGATACAGGGACTGGAAAAGCGAGCTTATTTTATACTATGTAGTAGAGTTAGGTAGCATTGACAACTTCGTTTTTATTATACTATCTTTAAGGCGGTAAAATCATCATATGTGTTCTCCTGCTGGCAGAACAGCTGACAGAAGAAGAAGAAAGAAGTTTTGAATTTGTCTAGCTGTCGTGTAACCGACTCTGATCGTATAGGTACACACACACACACACATACATAATGCAGGACTGATAGACGATGAGAGCTAATTTGAAAGTGCACTGAGGTAACGAGGATGAAGCGTATTATTCTATTCGATGTTCAACTATTTATTAATACGAGTACATAGACTATAGCTCCCGTACTCCCGTACTCCAGTGACATATGCCAATTAGGTACTAGGCTATTATGCTACCTATGTAATAGTGTCATGGGTTTATTTAATTTCAAATTTGGAATATTAATTCCACTCCTATACATATTTGGATATAGCGCATCCTATTGGGATAGGATCCCTTTAGAAGGCTTTTTGATGAACTCAATTTTATGTTTACTTTTCAAATATTATGAAGGGATGAAGACTTTGTATGGTTTAACGCGCTAATCTCTGAAAATACTGCTACGTAATTGAAAAATCTTCGTAGTATCAACAGTTCATTTAACGATAATAAGTATAGACACAATATGAACACAGTTATTAATGGATTAATATTAGTGTTTCTCTTGTCAGCCATTGCTGAAAAGAATCTGATTCTGACTATTTAGACATTGCATGAATTAATAAATATTAATATATTAATAATTTTTCTAGGATAGGTTATTTAATATCTTGATACGTCACTTATTAAAAACACGAGCTATTGTACCTATCTGATAAAATTTAGTACCGCATAGGAATAAACATTAAGGCTAATTAATCAGCTAATTAGATAAGTTTTGATATGTGAAAGTATCTATTACGTCTTTGGGTATCCTATTAAACGACAAGCCAAAAACTACTGATTATTAATTGATATTTTCACAGCATTACGTTAAGCTTTGCAATTAAGGTTGTAATATAAAAAATGACGATTACAAAAACGACTTTAATTCAAATGCACTAAGAAATCAATTCGGCTGAAGGTTAGCAACAAAATTGCACAGGACGTTATGGCGGGAGCAGACACGTAGCCGACCTAGTTCCGTTCCTCACTGATTTACCGGAGGAGGGAGACATCCTCAAGCTTCCATCAGGATAACGTTGTTAGGATAAACGATGGGAAGTTAACCAGTCGTCGGTTCAAGAACAAGATTGATTGGAGGAATTATTTGAGTGGTGGCGTATTATGGAGTTGTTGTTACCATTTTTTTAAACAAAAAAAACGTAGCTCCACACTAGCCTCTTCTCTTGTGTCGTGGGTGTGATTCACAAAAAAAAGCATTTTCAATATATTTGTTTTACCTACTAAAGCTTCATACTTTTAAACTTATATCTACACTACTAATTTAATTAGCGATCTTCATTTTTAAATACGCATGTAGCTAATGTTTAAATTGAGAAAATTCGTGTTGTATTATGCATAACAGAGAATATAATAGCGAGGAAAATCTTAATTAAAAATTTACGCAAAATATCAGGTTACTTCGCTTTTCGTTAATATGAGTCCCTAGCGCGGCTGAAACTAGACGCGTTACCTAGTCAAACAATTACATGAATGGCTGCAATATTATTTAATACATCTCACATCTCACGAGATTTATAAAAGGCATGGTGTTTTCGTACGCTCCCATTATTAATACACAAACTAAAAATGAGTTCAACGATGACAGACGAATGAGAAAATATCCAAAAATAAAAGAAAGGCGAGAGAATTAGCAATGGCCAATGATATAAGTAATCTATCTGGTGGTGACGGAATACTGACAGCAAGCCAATTTGGCGAGCGTGTGGCGCTCTCTGGGTAAATAATACGTGTTAATTTAGCTAGCTGATCTGATGTTTTGGTCGTTAAAATAACTATTTTCTGCTAATTGCGAGTAAATACTATTGCAAAAAGAAATATCACTGGGATTTCTTTTACACGAGTTCTCACTAAGGCTACATGTTTTTGTCAAGTAAGTACAACATTATACACTAGCTTTTGACCGCGATCCCGTTCGCGTGAAATAGGGACGTCCTGCGGATTTTTGGTTTAAAAAAAAACTATCCTATATATAGGATCCTTTCCTTTCTCGAGTTCCAAACTATGTCTGTACCAAATTTCACACAAATAGGTTTAGTAGTTTAGGCGTGAAGAAAATACAGACAGACAGAGTTGCTTTCGCATTTACAATATTAGTTTGGATTAAAATAACATTACTTATAATTAATTATGTATGTTGTGAGAAGCACGACTAGAAGTCAATAATTGAATAAGACACGTGCCTGGAGATTAATGAAGCTTACGTTCAAACAAATTTTTTATGTCTTCATTTCTGAAACATGCGCCATTACTATAAAAGTAATGGCTACAGAAAAGTTCAAAGCTTCAAAATTGTACTAAGGTAATTATTTATATATATGTATTTGGTTAAATGGCTAAAATATTTTGTTAAAAAAATCCAGATAGGTACTTAATGTTAAAAGTTGCGTTGTAAATGAAACTGTTTAAATTAATGCTTCCTAAGATCTTGCTGGTTTCTGCTAGTTTTATGGGCGTGTGCTGTCTAATAGTTTTTACTTGTTGTTTTGCTTTATAGCCAAAAGTGATTATCCAAAAGATCATCCTACCTGATAAGTGGGATCTTATATAAGTACAAAGCCACGACATTGAACATTGCAGACATGATTACTATCGATTACAATTATTTATCTCTAAGTATTTATTTCACTTCCTCTCTTTAATGTTGATAGGTGATAATTATGGTCTCATTTTAAGTCACTGTTACAGACCGGTATACAACTAGTTCGCGCCCGTGACTTTGTCCGTCTTTATCCGCTTTACATAATTATATCGTAGGTATCTAAACATTTTCCGCGTCCGTCCGCAGAATATGCAATGGTCTCCTATAGGTACTCTCCAAAATAAAGAGTTAGATTTTTATTTTATAGTTTTTTTTTAAGTATAACGATGATACAGTCAGCTAAAATCTTTTTATGAAATAATATTTTAGTTGAATTTTATAATAGCATATTGCAAATTATATATCTTAGTTATATCTCTATATTATATAACAAAACATACCTTTATATGTAAATACCCACAGAATATTGTAATGATAATTTTCCGTACAATATTTTTACTCATAAGATAGTATCTCTATCTTGATTTTAAGCGTACCACAATACCACGTCGTACATAATACAAGTAAATGTTATTACCTAATTTCTATAAAATCTAGATTCTAGACTTACCTAGAGAAGCCTCAGGGTCTGAAAGGTCCGAGAGTGATGGCACTTTCTGCATAGCTCGCGGCTCTTCGGGCTCCGGTGGCTCAGTCTTGATGCTGTCCGCAGCACCGCCACCCTCATCGCACTGAAAAAACAAACAAAAATCAATATGGCTGCCTATTTTATGGAATATGGAAATGGAATTTTATGGAATTGAAGGCAACCTATCTCTGAATCATCACCTGATGGTAAGAGGTGACTTATCAGCGAGATATGAACACGCACATAGTAATTTAATATAGTATAATTGTGTTTATGTATAATTTAATTTAATATAGTATGCATTTTTTTAACTTTATTTGGATTATGTTCTATTCATATTTATATATAAAAATATTACTGCTTTTGTTTTGTTTTAAGCATATAAATAAATTAAGAAAGAGAACCCAAATAACAAATATTGACAATGGTATACTTAATAGGTTCTTGCACTGATTTCACGTAAGTGCTTTTAATGTCCTTATATCATTTTTTTTTCTATTTATTGCAAAAATATTATTATTTTATAATATTATTATTTACTGCAAAAATATTATTATAATAATTATGTATTTATAAAATCCGCGAGTAGAAAACAATACTTTGAAAAGTCACGTATATGGGTGATAAGCTTAGGTAAGTTTAAAGATTTTTTTGTACTTAATTACTCGTTGGTGCTTTCAATAAGTACTTTAACAAATTAGTTAAGTTTTCTCTTTACAAAGGCGTCAAAAAAAATAGTTAGGTATTGGTTTTTTGCCCTCGTATTAAAATTATGTTCAGACAAATTTGCCACCAATTTTTATTTATGAGTAGTTGTGTAGATATTTAGATATGTGAATAGAATAGAATCTAAACGTACTTGTGAAAAGGACAATGATAACGGTGGGGGCCAAACTTGGTCACGTACTTTTTTATTTACAGTTTTCTTTTGCAGAAAGGTTTTAAAAAATAATTATTTTTGACGTACTATGAAATTAAGAAACTCTGAGTCTGAGACAGCCCTATTTCTCCAGAAGCTTATAAAAAATAGGCTGATGATGACGAATAGACTATGAACAACTTTTAATTTAGTTTAAATTTAATTAAAAAATATTTTAATTTCAGTAAGTAATACAAAATATTTATGTCAAAAATAACAGATATGGTTGACTAAAAATTTTTGAAATTTCTAAAATTTCCTATTTTTTGATCGTGTTGAAATAAAAAAAATTAAACGTCTGTTTATAAAGTTTAGTTTTCTTTAAACCTAGCAAAAGTAATTTTGTTTAAGTCTATTGTAAAGAAAGCTGACGAATTCTTTTTAATGAAACTTGTCCTTTCGTATTAAAACAAAATATTTGAAAATGTATGTGCGTGCGTAACTCCTGAACGGCTATACTGATTTGAAAGTTATTTCTCATTTTGTATAGCAAGATAAGCTTTGCTCGTGTAAATGAAATCTTTGACTGAAAATATGAGTGTTCTTAATATGGGGAGGAAGCGAAGCGAATGATAAAAATAATGATGTTGAATGAGAAAAAATATATCAGGATGGATCTATGTATAATGGGTAATGTAAAGGCAGTTATGTACTTATTATAAGTATATATTATCAGAGATGAAAACAGACCTCTTAAGTTAAAATGTAGCACAAAATTTTTGAAGTGGAAATTTAATATGACTCAACAGCTTAATTAAAAAAAAGGAATTATTTGCGATTCGAATTACTAATGTTACCTCATAAAATAAATTATACAATTAAATATTTTAATTAAACTAAGCGCCTCAATAATTAAAAAAAAAACTAACACGCACTTGAATTAAAAAAATACCGGAATCAAAGTTTAAGGAACACTTAAAATGATATCTAAGTCTTAAATTAAGTACCACCGGTGTTACCCACAGCGGTGACTGGTACAATGAGGTATAATCCAGTGCTGGACTGTCGATCATATATATTTATCGAGCAGCAGATAATAAGATCTTAAAGATTATCGGTATCAGCACAAATCCTTAAAAATATTTTATTAAATAAATGATTTCTGCTACAATATTACAGATTATATTATCTTCTGAAGATAATTCGTTTATATTGTGATTGGTTGACAAATGGACACACTTTAAAAGCTAATTGATGTTGGTAGTAGGAGCAGAGAAAGTGAGATTTTTTTTGTTTTTTTTTTTTTGAGCCATTCGTACCACATCAGGACTTCTGCAGCTAAAGAGGTTTATAATCGGCTTTGAAACAGAGGATGGATTTTCATTAAACTTACTCACTCAGCGTAGTACAACGCAATTTTGTTAAGCAGTAATAGATCTTGCTATCGTTTTAAGCATAGTTGTATATAAAGCTTAAGCAATTACATATACATATATACGATAACACTGATTAGTTTTTTTTTAATGAACACTATAGTTAGTATAAGCACGGAATAGAAAATACAGAGTGTAAGTGAACATTTTGATTTTAGAGGTTTGAAAATAGTAACATTGGCTGCATTTTGTTTTAATTTTTTTTTAAAGAAATTCATATGCCCATATTATTTGTCGCTGAAGCTATTGACTTAAAAAAGCTTCTTTAAAAAAATTATTTCAATGGTATTTAATGATAAATATTAATCTTGCTCTTCCAAAAAAATTAGACTTTGATAAAAATGTCTGGTAGATACTTAACTATCTATAAACGTGAGGTTATTTTTTTATCAATAAGTATAATATCTAGACAGTCACACCTTCTGTTCCTGAATAGAGTACAAAGTACACGTTCTAAAAATAGAAATTAATTCATAAAAATAGATAATGAAAAAAATTGACGGTCAGTGAATCAACTTGTAATTGATGATTAGCACGAGTTTCATGAATGACCGTTATCGCTGACTAAAGGGCAAGAATTAATCAGAATTACACATACATAGTATATCGAATCACCAAGTAGTTATTTAAAAACCTGGCAGTGTCTATCAAAAGAGGATATTATTTTATATATAAGGTTGTGGAGGGAATGATCGCATCGGCGCGGGACCATTACTTGGCCACGTATGCTACACACACCAACCACTTCCGTTCAACGTTCGGACATGCGTCGCTTAAAAAAATATTCACAACACAATGCTTCAAAAGATTCTTTGATCTATGTTCATTCTTCATTCTTATTCAAAAGAAAAAAATCTATGCGATAAGAAATAAACTCCGCGAACGAGTCAAGGTTTTGAAATCAATTTGTATTTTTAAATATCGCTAGGTGTGTAACTAACGTATTATATATATGTAGGCCTGTCTTCTATCTAATTCAAAATTCAAGTTCAGGTTTGGTAGGTAGGTTAGGTTTGATGTTGGACGGAAAGAGGATGAATACCTACGAATAGTACTTAAACATAAGAACAGAGTTTTTGCCAGGATGAAATCTGACAGGGACAAAGAAAGAAAACTCGTGCTGACCACAAATGATTTAGGATAAAGGCTGAAATAAATAGTTTTTAGAAAAGAGTTTTATTAACATACATAAGTGATGCCAGTGAAAGACCCTCCATTCGTTGATATGTGATAATGGTATTTTGGACCATAAGGAATTGATTCCTATCAAGCGGATAGCAGCTTGTATAAAATATGATTCATGAACAGTATCAGTCCATTCACTGCTAAACAAAGTATTTCTCACACAAAAATAAGTTGTGCATATTACCACATGTTGATGATAGTAGTTTTTATAAGTTCAGAGTTTCTGATAAGCCTGTACTTGGAGCGCTTCTGCTCGGTCCCTGTGCACTGGGCTCTTAGGATGTTCGGGGATAACCAACCCTATCGTCACCACTTAAATGATATCGATATCATATTGTGTAAATCAGATACAATGACGAAAATTGTGTGTGTGATAAAAACTTTTACTTTGCCGTCCGGGGAAAAACCGCCGTATCATCTCACTCACGTACAAACAAACATTTTATCGCGATTAAAACGACCACCATGATTTATTTTATGAATTAAACTAATTATATTATCACAATATTATCATTTATTTATTTATTTACATGCACCTATCTTATTGCTATCCATTTCTTGAAAGTTTATCGTATATCGATTACAAAATAACTTTCTATCGGTTACTTAATTAGGAATCCAATAAATTCCACGGGTTTTTAGACACTAAAATTATAATCAAATAATCTGATTTCCTAAGTATTTTTCATCCGTTTTCCTGTACCTATTTAAGCATATCCCAGAATTGTACCTTATCATGGGAGATAAGCGAGCTTGTATGTTTATTTGTCCACATAATCTCATTGCTGTACAAATTAAAGATTTTTATCAGAATTATCTACTAATAAGTCGCTTGTCTCGGCTGTATAGTTATAAGCACGTCAGCTCAGCGCGAAGTCATTCATCAGTTCTCGCTCAGTGAAATATAATTAATTCTAATATGTTTGTACCTTCTGTTAGACATCGTAAGAGCTGTTATAACAGCTTCAAATATTGATATAGTTGGCGAAAATTTTGTGTACTACACACCTACACTTGGCTGCCTAGAGAGACAAAGACGCAATCATATTGAGTAAGTAAAATTAATTTGATTAAATACTTTGTTTTTATAAAAAATAACCTAACCTTATGGCACACATTTATACGTAATTTTAAAATTAGAATACCTTCAACGGAAGGAGGTTTTATGAGATTAGTAAGAAAAATACACTTTTATTTATTTGTATATTTTTTATTACATTTTGCGTATCCCTAGTTGACCCTTCTCAATTGAGTATAGTGGGCAACATCTAATCACAAAGTATATCAATATGGTCCAATAAAAATGTCAAAATCGAATCAACGGGACCCCTCGGGCCAATCAACTTGGACCCGTTATGATGGGACTCTATTAGACCCTACTGTCATACGTAATAGTATACATATATATAAATACAAGTGCCTACATACTTGTAATCATGTTTTATTAGGTAGAACCTTGGTAATATAGATAGGGGTACTTATACAGTTCTTTTTTATAACTTGCCTCTGCTAGCGGCTTCGGCCTCAAGTAGCCTGTGTTTTATTCCACACTATAAACTATCACTACGCCTAATTGCAATCAGATTCATTGAACAGTTTTTACGAGAAAGAGTATCCGTCTATCCA